TGGCTGTACCTGCTTGCATTCCCACCAACAGTATAAGAGGGTTCTCTTTTCTCCTCATTCTCACCAACATTTGCTGTTTCCTAACTTGTTGACTTTAGCCATTCTCACTGGTATGAGGTGGCATCTCATTGTGGTTTTGATTTGTATTTCCCTGATGCCAAGTGATGTGGAGCATTTTTCATGTATCTATTGGCCATTTTTATGTCTTCTTTGGAGAAATGTCTGTTCATGTCTTCTGCCCATTTTTTGACTGGATTTTTTGGTTTTTGGGTGTTGAGTTCGATGAGTTCTTTATAGATCTTGGATACTAGCCCTTTATCTAATATGCTATTTGCAAATATCTTCTCCCATTCCATAGGTTGCCTTTTTTTTTTAAGATTTTATTTATTTATTTGAGAGAGAGAATGAGATAGAGAGAGCATGAGAGGGGGGAGGGTCAGAGGGAGAAGCAGACTCCCTGCTGAGCAGGGAGCCCGATGCAGGACTCGATCCCAGGACTCCAGGATCATGACCTGAGCCGAAGGCAGTCGCTTAACCAACTGAGCCACCCAGGCGCCCAGTTGCCTTTTTGTTTTGTTGACTGTTTCCTTTGCTTTGCAGAAGGTTTTTTTTTTTTTTTTATGGATATTGATTTTTTTTTAATTTAAACTCAATTAGCCAACATTTAGTACATCATTAGCTTTTGATGTAGTGTTGAATGATTCATTAGTAGTACATTAGTAGTATATAACACCCAGTGCACATCAGATCATGTGTCCTCCTTAAGGCTCATCACTCAGTTACCCAATCCCTCCACCCCCCTTCCTTCCTCAACCCTCCGTTTGTTTCCTGGAGTCAAGAGACTCTCATGGTTTGTTCCTCTTTCTGATTTCTTCCTTTAATTATCCCTCCCTTACCCCATTGTCCTCTGAACTATTTCTTATATCCCACATATGAGTGAAACCATATGATAATTGTCTTTCTCTGTTTTACTTATTTCACTTAGCATAACAGCCTCCAGTTCCATCCATGTTGTTGCAAAAGGTGCGTATTTATCCTTTCTGATAGCTGAGTAAGATTCCATTGTATATATGAATCACATCTTTATCCATTTATCTGTTGAAGGATATCTTGCCTGCTTCCACAGTTTGGTTATTGTGCACATTGCTGATATGAACATTAGGGTGCATGTGTCCCTTCTTTTCACTACATCTGTATCTTTGGCACAAATACCCAGTAGTGCACTTGCTGGGTCATAGGGTAGCTCTATTTTTACCTTCTTGAGGAATTGCCATACTGTTTTCCAGAGTGGCTGTGCCAGCTTGCATTTCCACCAACAGTGTAAGAGGGTTCCCTTTTCTCTACATCCTCGCCAACATTTGTTGTTCCCTGTCTTGTTAATTTTAGCCATTATAACTGGTGTAAGGTGGTATATCTCATCATGGTTTTGATTTGTATCCCTGATGCCAAGTGATGTGGAGCATTTTTTCATGTGTCTGTTGGCTATTTGTGTGTCTTCTTTGGAGGATCAGACAATAGGGTAAGGTGTCTGTTCATGTCTTCTGCCCATTTCTTGACTGGATTATTTTGGGGGGGGTGTTGAGTTTGGTAAGTTCTTTATAGATCTTGGATGCTAGTCCTTTATCTGATAACTCACTTGCAAATATCTTTTCTCATTCCATGGGTTGCCTTTTAGTTTTGTTGACTGTTTCCCTTGCTGTGCAGAAGCTTTTTATCTTGATGAAGTCCCAATAGTTCATTTTTGCTTTTGTTTCCCTTGCCTTTAGATGTGTGTCTTGCAAGCAGTTGCTGTGGCCAAGGTCGTAGAGGTCACTGCCTGTGTTCTCCTTTAGGATTTTGATGGATTCCTGGCTCAATTACGTCTTTCATCCATTTTGAGTTTGTCTTTGTGTATGGTGTAAGATAATGATCCAGTGTCATTCTTCTGCATGTGGCTAACCAATTTTCCCAGCACCATTTGTTGAAGAGACTGCCTTTTCATTGGATATTCTTCCTGCTTTGTTGAAGATTAGTTGATCATAGAGTTGATGGTCCATTTCTGGAGTCTCTATTCTGTTCCATTGATCTATGTATCTGTTTTTGTGCCAATACCATGCTGTCTTGATGATCACAGCTTTGTAATATAGCTTGAAGTCAGGCATTGTGATGCCTCCAGCTTTGGTTTTCTTTTTTAGCATTCCCATGGCTATTTGGGGTCTTTTCTGGTTCCACACAAATTTTAGGATTGTTCGTTCCAGCTCTGAAAAGTGTTGCTGGTATTTTGATAGGGATTGCCCTGAATGTGTAGATTGCTCTAGGTAGCATGGAGAGTTTCACAATGTTTTTTCTTCCAATTCATGAGCATGGAATGTTTTTTCCATTTCTTTGTGTCTTCCTCAATTTCTTTCATAAGAGTTCTGTAGTTACTAGAGATCCTTTACCTCTTTGGTTAGGTTTATTCCTAGGTATCTTATGGTTTTTGGTTCAATTGTAAATGGGATCAATTCCTTAGTTTCTCTTTTTTCTGTCTCATTTTTAGTGTATAGAAATGTAACATTTCTGTGCATTGATTTTGTATCCTGCCACATAGCTGAATTGCTGTATAAGTCCTAGTATTTGGGGTGGATTCTTTTGGGTTTTCCACATAAAGTGTCATGTCATCTTCAAAGAGAGTTTGACTTCTTCTTTGCCAATTTGAATGCCTTTTATTTCTTTTTGTTGTCTGATTGCTGAGGCTAGGTCTTCTAGTACTGTGTTGAACAATAATGGTGATACTACTTTGATACTACTTCTCAGTTTACAAATGCATTGACAAGACCTTTTCACTATTGATTAATTTTGTTTTAGAGCTAAGAAATAAGGTTGGTATTATGTACTGCCCTTGTGTAGGTCTGTAGAAATAAACCCGAGACTCTTTAACTTTTTATAGGATTTGCAAAAACTACTACATCTTGCCATTTGTGTTTTTCCTTTCCCTGAATAAACCTTAAATGCTGTATCTGGATTATCATGCTAGTTAATGGATTGTAAAATTCAGATTGAGGTATGGGAGAAAGCCTCTGGTATAAAGCAAGAGAGCTAGAATAAATTCATTTGTGGCAACTGATAAGTATAGTCATCCTCTTTGACAACTTCCTTCACCAAGCCAATGTTAGATGGATTCTCCAGACCAAATTCAAATTTTTTCCAGATGTGAAATGTCAAATGAATACAAGCAACATCTGATGAGTTAGGTTATATAAGCCAAAGACCAAATTGTGCAAAGAGGAGGATCAGAAAAGATACAATAGGAAATCACCTTGATATTTTAAAATTATAGAAACAAGGCAGCCATCAAGAAGAGGTATGTAGAAAAACGGACCCTGTTTATAACTGAAATAAATTCAAATGAGTTAGCTCTTTAAAAACACAGAATTAAGACAGCTACCAAGAGGAGGTAAGTAGAAAAACTGGCTTTTATTTACATATTTAAAAAAAGACAACCAAAATATTTTAGAATTCTTCCTCTAAAGAGGAAGGTTGTTTAGGGTCCATAGTTTAGCTTGGAGTAAGAAATCAATAAGCCATTCTGACTCTTCCCTCCTACTTCTAACACTTAAATTAAAAAAAAAACAACTTTCTTACAGAGAAAAGTAACTAATGCGGTGATCCTTTAGAGATGTCTCTGTTTACAACTGGATGTGGTAGTACCAGAGACGGCTCTTTCTCTAAGACATCTATTTTTGCACTTAAACCAGATATAGTATTTGGAATAGACATCGTGGGTGAAGACCTGGATTCTATTGGCAATGGAAGCTCTGAAAATGCTGACAGTATATAGTACATGACCCAAACAACCTGAGGGCTACCCTATCCCAGCATGTGGAACTGGGTAAAGCATGACTGAATATTCGAGAGGAATATTTATACAGCAAGTGTATAAACCCCAAAGGGAAAATCTGGTGTTTAATGGACAAGTACATCCCTTCCCCCAGGAGTATTTGGGCCTGCTCTAAGAATAGACTTTTTCAAAAGTGTGCATTACCACAAGTGATAAACCTACCAGATTTTAAAAGTAGTGCCAACTGTATCTAAAAACCCACAAACTTGATGTGATGTCTACAGAAGCAAAACCACTGGTCTTCATTAAAAAAAAATAATAAGAAGAAGAGGCCTGTTTTAGGAAAACTCAGATGGGCATGTAGGCCAAGTGTAAGCCAGGGTCTAAAGCACTGAGATTTTCAGTTGTCTCTCAAAATAATGCTGAGAATGCTATTAATCAGTGTTATTAATTTAGATCCCACTGATTTGGAATTGATTGTTTTAGAATGTAGTGGATTCAAGTTTACCTATGGGTTACCTATGAAAAAGGGAATTGGCTGAGTATTATAAATAGACCTAACTGGGGTGTGAGTTGGGGAAAGTAAATGTTATAACCTAATATTTCCTTATATGTTCTAAACCACCAAGCACCCATGCACCCATGCTAACAATTAAGGATCATTTTGATTTATTTCTCAGGCAAATGTTGGGATCTCTACTGACAATAACATTAGCTTACATCCTATAACTGAACATATCTAAAGGTAAAGTTTCCTTTTAAGCCATTCTGCAATTCAGTTACTTGCTATATACCACCTATATATCCCCTCAACAGTCTTAGTTCTAAGCTGTGATTATATTTTCACTCTGTTCTCATGCTATCGCAGTGAGTGTGGAAAAGTCAGGGAGGCTGATCATTAAGGAAAATGGAATAATGGAACCAGCCTAATATCTCAGCTGGAAGGCAACATTTCTAAAGTTAAATCCCATTCTAGAACAATAATATATTCTTTCCCTTGCCTACATTCTGGGCTGCTTAACATACAAAACTGGTTGTTTAATCAGTAAAGGCCATACGTTACCTTCCAGACTCTTAAGTAGGAGGAGGGGTGCCCCAGACTCACCCATTTAAACCAACTGGAAAAGTAGCATAGCCTTCTTTGGGACAAGGATCACTGTGGGTGCTGTAGGTTCATCCAGCATGGCAACAGATGAGTAGCTCACTGTTGTTTAGAGCAGCCTGCCTCCTTGGTGCTGACCTAGGAGATGCCTATGTCCCCAGTGATACCCATACTCCCAGCGAAGCTCGTGGCCTCAGAGATGCTGATGTCTCCAGAGTAGCCCATAGCCTCAGAGATAACTGTGGCCACATAGATGTCCCTGGAGTCAGAGATGCCCATGTTTCTAGAGAATCCCACATCCCCATAAATGTTTATGGCCCTAAGGCTACCTATAATCCCACAGCAGTCATGGTGAAAGGTCTGTACCCTGGCTTTTCACTTGATGCATCTGAGTTTAGAGGCCTCCTTCCCTGGACAGGGTACCATTCTCCATCAAGGTGTTCAGGTCTCCACTAATACCCATAAAGCCAAGAGGATTGGTCAAAGGACTTCCCAGATGCTGAGATAATAAATTCCTTAATTGAGGGCAGGTACAGCTTTCTTCTGTAGTAGCTCATCATGGGCTTATAGTTTTTGTCATAGGAACAAGGAATGGTTGAAAAGAATTAGGAACAGAAGAAAAGCTTGGTAAATTTCACAATGACCTGCAGGGATCCTGCTGCTGTCACTAATATGGTAGATTATAAACTTTTGCCCCCTCCTTACTCATGTTTAAACATCTTTTTTTCATCACTTCACATAATGTTTTAAAAGCCCTACTACTAAAAATCCTCAAGGGTCTTATATCTATAAAAGTCCTCTTTTCTGATAAATATAATTTTACTACTGGAAGCAGGGAGGGCAAGGGAGAGGATCACTAAAATTTTTTAAATACCTCTATGTGCTGGAGACTTTACATATAGTATTTCCTTTTATACTTATAAGAATCCTATTGGTTAAATATTAGCTGTATTTTACAAATGAGAAAACTGAGTCTCAGAGAATTTAAGTAAGACTAAAATTCACACATTTAGGAAATGGCAGAGCTGGGATCTGGCCCTGATGCCAATTTCTATGACCTAACACCTCATGGTACCTCCAATGGATATTTTCACTTTCAAGGATAACACAATGACTCAGTGATACTTTATAATGGTTATTCTTAACTTTCTTCTCAGAAAGCTGCATGCATGCACATGTGTGTACATGAAACAGCCCACATACACAGTCTTAGGTGTAATATCAGGGCTTTCACAGATTCCCCCAAAGGGTATCTGTGTACACCTATGGGTTCATGGACTCCAGTGAAGAGCTCCTGTTGTAGGGTATAGGCATCTCATTGTCATTTTTTTGGAAATCAGAAAATCGCACACACATACAAAACAAACAGTGGTAACCTTTGAAGAGAGGAAATGAATGGGTGTGTGGCTAGGAGAATCTTTTAAACTTTCCATCTTGAATGTTTTTGTATTCTGCATATTCTAACTTTATAACTGTACTATCTTTCTAAAAATCTCAACAGAGAAAAACTTCTGGGAAGATGGAAAAGTAAGAATATCCTAAGCTCACTTTGTTCCATGAACACACCTAGATAACAGCCACATCAGTGCAACTAACCCAGAGGATGACCTAAAGACTGGCAGAGGAGATTTTACACTGTTAATCGTAGAGAAGACACCACATTGGAAAGGTAGGAGGGGCAGAGATGTTGTCCAGAACCAAACTCCTGAAGAGACTAACTACAAACAGGAATGTTACCACAAGCACAGAGAAGGGAGAGGAGCAGACTCCATACTAGGCACCCCAGACATAGGGTCAAACACCGGGAAGTGAGGCTCCCTAATATTTGACTTTGAAAATCAGTGGGGTTTAACTTCTCAAGTATTTACAATCAGCAGGGCTTAACTCCAGGTACTTTAAAAATAGCAGGCTTAGCTCTGGGAGAGCTGAAGGGCCCTATGAACCAGAGTTCCTGCCCTTAAAAAGTCAGTATAACAAACATAGCATAGAAGAAGCAGTTTGAAAACACCTGGAGTATACCTGAAGGTTTATTTACTAATCTCACAACATGTGCCGGGGGGGTAGGGATCAGGAGACTTATCCAAGAACAAAAGAGCTGGCAGGCACCATTTCTCTCTCTCCACCTCCCCACACCCAGCACAGATAACAGGACACTTACAGTAACCAGCTAGAAAATCCTCCACCTACCTTTCTAACAATGTGTGCCCTGCCTCCACATCCACCCACCCTACTCTGAAGACATCCTCTAAATTTGCTCCTGCCAAAACAAATATTGCTTGCAGCCTTGGTTAAGACTGGTGCCACTACAAAGTGATTCCAGCCAGGGGGAGAGGGGATGATAACCACATACAACAGTTCAAATGCAGGCCCAGAAGACAGACTAGGAGTAGACATTGGATCGGGTTGCTGGTCTGTTGACCAACAAAATCCTCTCAGGGGACAAGGCAGGGAAAGCACCCTGCAGGTTGAAGATACTGCAGCCCCAACAGACAGACTGTGGGCAGGCATCTGATTGGATTTCAGGCTCTGCCCAACAATGAAAGCCTCTCAGGAAAGCCTTCTGAGGATCAGTGCAACTACAGTCCCAGTGGAGAGGCTGAGGGTAAGCATCTAGTCTGACTGCTGGTACCAACCAAGTACAAACCCATGGTGGTACCAAACTGGCCTTTTAACAGCACAGGTACCAAACCCTGCCCACAACTGGCAAAGTGCGCCACTACAGCCAACTGGACTAAAGGCAAATGAAGATCAGCCACAACAGTAGGATGTACAAAACACACATAAGAGATAATCCTGAAGAACTGGTTCTGGAGAATCACATTACACTACAGAGCACCACAGGACCTCTTCTTCATAAGGACACTACTTTCAAAATCAGAAGATGCAGCTGAATTTCCTAATACATAGAAACAAACACAGAGAGTTAGACAAAATAAGGAGACAGAGGAATATGTCCCAAATGAAAGAACACGATGAAACCATAGCAAAAGAGCTGATTGAAATGGAGATAAACAATATGCCTGATAAAGAATTCAAAGTAATGGTCATAAAGATACTCACTGGATTTCAGAAAAGAGTGAAAGATCTCAGTAAGAACTTCAAAAAGATAGAAAAAAACTAGTCAGAGATGAAGAACTCAATAAGTGAAATAAATACATTAGAGGGAATCAATAGCAGATTAGGGTCGCCTGGGTGGCTCAGTCAGTTAAGCATCTGCCTTCGGCTTGGGTCATGATCCCAGGGTCCTGGGATCGAGCCCACATCAGGCTTCCTACGCAGAGGGGAGCCTGCTTCTCCTTCTCTCTCTGCCTGCCTCTCTGCCTACTTGTAGTCCCTCTCTATCTCTCTGTCAAATAAATAAATAAAATCTTTTTTAAAAATAGCAAATTAGAGGAGGTGGAAGAATGGATCAGCGAGCTGGAAGACAGAGTAATGAAAAGCAACCAAGCTGAAGAGCAAAGAGGAAAAATTAATATTAAGAAATGAGAATTGGTTAAGGGAACTCAGTGACATCATCAAGTGTAAAAACATTTGTATTTTAGGGATCCCAGAAGGAGAAGAGAAAAGAGGGCAGAAAATTTATTTGATGAAATAATAGCTGGAAACTCTCTTAATCTGGGAAAGGAAACAGATATCCAGATCCAGGAGGAACAGAGAGCTCCAAACAAAATCAACCCAAGGACGGCCACATCAAGACACATAATTAAAATGGCAAAAAGTAGTAATAGAGATGTGTCTGGGTGGCTCAGTCAGTTAGGCATCTGCCTTCAGCTCAAGTCATGATCTCAGGGTCCTGGTATCAAGTCCCACATCAGAATCCTTGCTCAGCAGGGATTCCTCTTCTCCTTCTGCCTCTGCCCCTCCCCCCCGCTCATGCTCTGTCTCTCTCCCAAATAAATAAATAAAAATCTTTTTAAAAAGTAGTAATAGAATTTTAAAAGCAGCAAGAAAAGAAAAAACAATTATACACAAGGAAAGCCTCATAAAGCTATCAGCTTTTTCAGCAGAAATGCTACAGGCCAGAAGAGAGTGGCATGATATTATCAAAGTGCTGAAAGGAAAAGAAAAAAAAAAAACCTACAACCTAGAACACTCTACACAGCAAGGCTGTCATCCAGAATAAAGGGGAGATACAGTTTCCTAGACAACAAAAGTTAAGGAGTTCATCACCACTAAACCAGTATTACAAGAAATGTTAAAGGAAATTCTTTGAATGGGAAGAAAAGACCAAATCAGGAGTAAGAAAATTATGAAAGGAAAATTTTTCACAGGTAAATGAAAACATAAAAAATTTAATAGTTTAATCACTTACAAAACCAGTGTGGATGTTAAAGCATAAAAACAGTAAAATCAATTATATCTATAAAAATCAGTCAGGTATTCACAAAACAAAAGGATGTTCAGTATGACATATACATAAAATGTGTGTATGGGGGAGTAAATCTTGAATGCTTTTATAATGGTTCAAATTTAAGTGACCATCAACTTAATATAGACTGCAATATTCATAGGATGTTATGTATGAACCTAATGATAACCACAAATCAAAATCCTATAAAAGATATACAAAAAATAGGGCGCCTGCGTGGCTCAGTTGGTTAAGCGACTGCCTTTGGCCCAGGTCATGATCCTGGAGTCCCAGAATTGAGTCCCGCATCGGGCTCCCTGCTCAGCGGGGAGTCTGCTTCTCCCTCTGACCCTCCCCCTCTCAAGCTCTCTCTCTCTCTCATTCTCTTTCTCAAATAAATAAATAAAATCTTTTAAAAAAAACATATACAAAAAATAAAGAGAAAGAAATCCAAGCATATCACTATAGAAACCATCAAACCACAAGGGAAGAGAGCACAAGAAGAAATGAACAGAGAGGATGTACAAAAGCAACCATAAAACAAGTAACAAAATGGCATTAAGTACTTACCTATCAATAATTACTGTGAATATAATTAGACTAAATGTTCCAAGCAAAAGACATAGGATAACTGAATGAATTAAAAAGAAAGACCCATATATATGCTGGCTAGAAGAGACTCAATTCAGACCTAAAGACACATGCAGATTGAAAGTGAATGGATGGAAAAATATTTACTATGCAAATGGAAGCAAAGAGAAAGCTGGGGTATCAATACTTATATTGGACAAAATAGACTTTAAAAAAAAGACTAATAGGAGACAAAGGATACTACATAATAATAAAGGGAAAACTCAAACAAGAGGTTATAAAAGTTCAAAATATTTTTTTGTCCCAACATAGGAACACCTAAATTAAAAAAACAACAATTAAAAGTCATAAAGGAAGAAATCGACAGTTATACAATAATAGTAGCCTACTTTAGCACCACACTTAAATCAATAGACAGATCATCCAAACAGAAAATTAATAAGGAAACTGGCTTTGACAGAGACGATGCAACACATAGACCCAACAGATACATCCAGAGCATTCCGTCCCAAAACAGTGGAATACACATTTTTTTCAAGTGCACATCTAAGAGTCTCCAGAATAGATTGCAGTTAGGCTACAAAACAAGTCTCAATAAATTAAGAAAATACATTGAAATAATATCATGCATATTTTCCAATCATAATAGTAGGAAACAAGCAATAAATCACAATGAAAAACCTGGAAAGAACACAAATACATAAAGACTAAATAGCATGCTACTAAACAATGAAAGGGGCCAACCAAGAAATCAAAGAGGAAATTAAAAAAAAATACATGGACATGACTGAAAATTAAAAAGCAATGGTCCAAATCATTGGGATGCAGCAAAGCATGTTCTATGAAGGAAGATTATAGAATGCAGACCTATCTCAAAAGCAAGAAAAATCTTCAATAAACAACCTGACCTTACATCTAAAAGACCTAAAAAAGAAGAACAAACAAAGCCCAAAGCCAGTAGAAGAAAGGACATAATAAAGATTATAGTAGGTATAAAAGAAATAGAAACAAACAAACAAAAATAATAGAACAGAAAAATGAAACCAGGAGCTGGTTCTTTGAAAAGATCAACAAAATTGATAAACCTTCAGAGAAACTCATTTAAAAAAGTACCCAAGTAAATAAAAACAGAAATGAAGGAGAAATAACCATCACCACAAAAATATAAAAGAGCTATATCCCTTTATATTCTTCTTCTTCTAAAACTGTAGCAGGAAGAATTAGAAAAATTGAACAGAATACTAGTAACAAAATTGAATCAGTAATCAACAAATTCCCAACAAACAAATGTCCAGAAGCAATTATATTCACAGGTGAATTCTACCAAACATTTAGACTTAATACACATTATTTTCAAACTTTTTATATAGTACACACACACACACACACACACACAAACTCAAAATGGACTAAAGGCCTAAATGCAAGACCTGAAGCCATAAAACTGCTATAAGAAAACATAGGCAAAATTTCTTTGACACTGGCCATAGAAACATTTTTTTAGGTAGGTCTCCTCTGGCAAGGGAAACAAAAGCAAAAATGAACTATCGGGACTACACCAAAAAAAAAAAAAAAAAAAAGCTTTTGCACAATGAAGGAAACTCAGCAAAACAAAGAGACAACCCACAGAATGGAAGAAGATATTTGCAAATGACATATGCACTAAGGGGTTAATACCCGAAATATACAAAGAACATATACAACTCAACACCAAAAAACAAGTAATCTGATTTATAAATGGCAGAGGACCTAAATAGACATTTTTCTAAGGAAGGCATACAGATGGTCAACAGACACATGGGAAGATTCTCAACATTTACTAATAATCATCAGGGAAATGCAAATGAAAACCACAATGAGTTGTCACTTTACACCTGTAAGAATGACTAAAATAAAAAATTGAAGAAATAACAAGTGCTGGTGAGGATGTGGAGAAAAAAGAACCCTTGTGTACTGTTGGTGGGAATGCAAATAGGTGTAACCACTGTGAAAGACAGTGTGGAGATTCCTCAAAAAATTAAGAATAGAATTACCACACGATCCAGTAATTCTACTACTGGGTATTTACCTAAAGAAAACGAAAACACTAATTGAAAAAGATAAACATGCCCTTATGTTTATTGCAGCAATATTTATTAATAGCCACGATGTGGAAGTTACCCAAGTCTTCATCCACACATCAGTGGAGGAAGTATGTATGTATGTATGTATACACACACACACACACACAGGGGATTATTACTCAGACTAAACAAGAATGAAATCTTGTCATTCACAACAACATGGATGGACATAGAGGTTATACTGCTAAGTGAATAGAAGGAACATTCCTCAAATTCATAAAAACCATCTATGAAAAGCCCACAGTGAATATCATTCTCAATGAGGAAAAGCAGAGAACTTTTCCCTCAAGATCAGGAACATGACAAGGATGCTCACTCTCACCATTATTGTTCAGCATAGTACTAAAAGTCCTAGCATCAGCAATCAGACAATAAAAAGAAATAAAAGGTATTCAAACTGGCAAAGAAGTCAAACTCTCTCTTTGCAGAGGACATGATACTTTATGTGGAAAACCCAAAAGACTCTACCCCCAAATTACTAGAATTCATACAGCAATTCAGTAGTGTGGCAGGATACAAAATCAATGCACAGAAATCAGATGCTTTCCTATACACTAGCAATGTAACTGTAGAAAGAGAAATTAGGGAATTGATTCCATTCACAATAGCACCAAAAACCATAAGATACCTTGGAATAAACCTAACCAAAGGGGTAAAGGATCTATACTCTAGGAACTACAGAACACTCATGAAAGAAATTAAAGAAGACACAAGAAGATGGAAAAACATCCCATGCTCATGGATCAGAAGAATAAAAATTGTTAAAATGTCTATGCTGCCTCTTTGTTTTGTTGACCATTTCCCTTACTGTGCAGAAGCTTTTTATCTTGATGAATTTTCAAAACTTCATTTTTGCTTTTGTTTCCCTTGCCTTTGGAGACGTGTCTTGATAGAAGTTGCTGTGACCGATGTTGAAGAGGTTACTGCCTATGTTCTCCTCTAGGATTTTGATGGATTCCTGTCTCACATTGAGGTTTTTCATCCATTTTGAGTTTATCTTTGTGTATGGTGTAAGAGAATGGTCGAGTTTCATTTTTATGTATATAGCTCTACAATTTTCCCAGCACCATTTATTGAAGAGACTGTCTTTTTTTTTTTTTTTTTCCATTGGATATTTTTTTCCTGCTCTGTCAAAGATTATTTGACCATAGAGTTGAGGGTCCATATCTGGGCTCTCTATTCTCTTCCACTGATCTATGTGTCTGTTTTTGTGCCAGTACCATGCTGTCTTGGTGATCACGGCTTGGTAATATAGCTTGAAATCAGGCAAGATGATGCCCCCAGCTTTGTTTTTCTTTTTCAACATTTCCTTGGCAATTCAGGGTATTTTCAGTTCCATACAAATTTTAGGACTGGTTATTCCAGCACTTGGAAAAATGCCATTGGTATTTTGATTGAAAGTATAGATTGCTCTGGGTATCATAGACATTTTAACAATGTTAAATCTTTGATTCCTGGTTTAACCTGTACTTAAAACAAGTGTCTGACTTTGGTTTTGCTGGTATCATAAAGCAAAATCAATACACATAGCACTACTCAATGAACAGTTTACAGTCTACATGGGAAGGAAATAAGATTTTTTCATAAGTTTTCCATAATTGGAAATATAACAATTTCATTGTCCTTATTGGTACACTCAATATGTCACACTTATTCTATGGATGGTAACAAATGCCAGTATGACTTCCCTGTCATTCCCTTGTGTTACTCTTAATTCCATCCACATCTGAAAGGGAACCAATCCACTTGTTTAACTAGCTGAGTGTGATATTTACCACTTTCCATGGGAAATAAGAAAAAGAAATGTGCTTCAGTGCTTTGTGGACACAGGATACCTAGAAGCCAGAATGTGTAACAGGCCAGCCAAGAAGCTTCTCACAAGTACAAATTAAACTCCAAGTGGGTTGGATCTACCCACTTGGGGTAAGAAGGGGTAAGAGGATCTCTTTTTGAGACATTATTCCTCACCTTTTCTAGTTTGTGCACATCTGCCTCCAGCATTGCTCTCTGCTTCTTAATTTCCAGGAGGCTGTCTAGCATACTCTTCTTGGGCTGCAGCCCTTTATCAAAATGGTTATACATACCACACCAGAACCTTGAATAAACAAAAAGAAAAAAAGGGAGGTTGGTTAAGCTAGAGGAATACATTATTGATGTTTCACTTGTGTTAAGAAAATATTAGCTTGGGGGACACCTGGGTGGCTCAGTTGGTTAAGCATCATCTGCCTTTGGCTCAGGTCATGATCCTGGGGTCCTGGGATTGAGTCTGTCTTCTCCCTCTGCCTGCCCTTCCCCCTGCTTGTATTCTCTCTCTCTCTCTCTCTCTTGCTTTATCTCTGGCAAATGAATAAATAAAATTTTTTTAAATAAAGAAAATATTAGATTGGTAGATAGGCAGATCTCAAAAGTAAGGTAATTTTGATGACATTAAAAAGACTGGCCATGTTCAAAAGGTAAAAAATAGCACTACCCTACAATCCAGTAATCACAGTACTAGGTATTTATCCCTAAAACACAAAAACACTAATTCAAAAGGATAGATACACCTCTCTGTTTATTGCAACATTATTTACAATAGCCAAGTTATGTAAGCAGCCTAAGCATCCATTGATACATGAATGGATAAAGAAGACGTGGTGTATATATGTGGTATACATATAAATATATATATATTCAACTGCAAAAAGAATATTTTGCCATTAGCAATAACATGGAAGGAGCTGGAGAGCATAATGCTAAGCAAAATAAGTCAATCAAAGACAAATATCACATGATTTCACTCATATGGGGAATTTAAGAAACAAGACAAATGAGGAAAGGAAAAAAGAGAGAGAGAAAAACCAAGAATGAGACTCATAAACATAGAGAATGAACAGATGGTTACCAAAGGGGTGGTGGGAATGGGTAAAATAGGTGATGTAGATTAAGGAGTACACTTGTGATGAGCATGGGTGATATATGGAATTGATGAATCACTATGTTGTATACTTGAAACTAAGATTATACTGCATGTTAACTATAGGAATTAAAAAAAAAAAAGGCATCCAAATCAGCAAAGAAGAAGTAAAACATTGACTATTCGCAGATGACATGATAATACATAGAAAAATTGAAAGACTCCATCAAAAAACTGCTGGAACTGATAAATTCAGTAAAGTCACAGGTTACAAAGTCAGCATACAGAAATCTATTATATTTCTAAACATCAGTAATGAAGCATCAGAAGGAGAAATGAAGGAATTCATACCATTTACAACTGTACCAAAAACAATAAGATACTTTGGAATAAACCTAATGAAAGAGGTAAAAGATATGTACTCTGAAAACTATAAAACACTTATGAAAGAAAATGAAAAGGACACAAAGAAATGGAAAAATATTCCATGTTCATTGATTGGAAGAAAAAATATTGCTAAAATGTCTATACAACCCAAAGCAATCTACACATTTAATGTACTCCCTATCAAAACACCAACAACATTTTTCACAGAGCTAGAACAAACAATGTTAAAATTTGTATGGAACCAGAAAAGATCCCAAATAGCCAAAGCAACCTTGAAAAAGAAGAGCTAAGCTGGAGGCATCACAATTCCAGACTTTAAGATATATTACAAAGCTGTAGGAATCAAAACAGTATGAACCTGGCATAAAAAAAGACACAGATCAATGGGACAGAATAGAAAACCAAGAAATAAACCCTTAACTATATGGTCAATTAATCTTTGACAAAGCAGGAAAGAATATCAAATGGGAAAAAGATAGTCTCCAACAAATTGTATTGGGAAAACTGGATGGCAACATGCAAAAGAATGAACCTGGACCACATTCTTACACCACACACAGATATAAATTCAAAATGGATGAAAGACCTGAATGCGAGATCCGAAACCTTAAAAATCCTAGAAAAGAACAAAGGCAGTAACTTCTTTGACATCAACCATAGCAACTTTTTTCTAGGTATGTCTCTTCAGACAAGGAAAACAAAAGCAAAAATAAACTATTGGGATGTCATCAAAGGAAGTTTTGCACAGTAAAGGAAACAATCAACAAAACTAAACTCCCATTCTGTAGACTGGGGAAGATATTGGCAAATGACATATCTCATAAATGGTTAATATCCAAAATATATGAAGAACTTCTACAACTCAACACCCAAAAAATGAATAATCCTATTAAAAAATGGGTAGGGGCACATGGGTGGCTCAGTCCGTTAAGCATCTGCCTCCAGCTCATGGCATAATCCCAAAGTCCTGGGATCAAGCCCTGCATTGGGCTCCTGCTCAGCAGGGAGTTTGCTTGTACCTCTCCCTTTGCCCCTTCCCCACACTCATGCTCTCTCTCTCTCTCAAACAAATATATAAAAATCCTTTAAAAAAATAAAAATAAATATAAATGGTCAGAAGACATGAACAGACATTTTACCAAAGAAGACATACAGCTAGCCAATAGACACATGATAAGATGCTCAACATCACTCATCATCAGAGAAATGTAAATCTAAACTACAAAGATATCATCTCAGAATGGCTAAAATCAACAACACAAGAAACAACAGGTGTTGACAGGGATGTGGAGAAAGGCAAACCCTCTTGCACTTTTGGTGGGAATGCATGGTGCAACCACTCTGGAAAACAGTATGGAGTTTCCTCAAAAGGTAAAAATAGAACTACCCTATGATCCAGAAATTGCACTACTAGATATTTACCCAAATGATACAAAAATACCAATTGAGAGGGATACATGCACATGGATGTTTAGAGCAGCATTATCTACAAGACCAAATTATGGAAATAGCCCAAGTGTCCACTGACTGATGAATGGATACATACAATGGAATATTACTCAGCCATGAAAAAGAATGAAATTTCGCCATTTGCAAAAACATGGATGAAGTTAGAGAGTATTATGTTAAGCGAAATAAGTCAGAGAAAGACAAAAACCATAAGATGTCACTCATATGTGGAATTTAAGAAACAAAACAAATGAGCAAAGGGAAAAAGAGAGAGGCAAGCCAAGGCACAGGCTCTTAACTATAGAGAACAAACTGATGGTTACCAGAAGGGAGGTGGGTGGGGGATGGGTTAAATATATAATGGGGATTAAGGAATGTACTTGTGATGAGCACTGGGTATTGTGTGGGAGTGTTGAATCACTATATTGTACATCTGAAACCAATATTACACTATATGTTAACTAACTGGAATTTAAATAAAAACTTAAAAAACAAAGACTGGGCATGTTCATAATTGAAGAGTAAATTTACTAGCAGAAAGATTGTGCTGAAAGAAACACTTTGGACTTGACCAAATTTGAGCTGTTCTTTAAAAATTATTTTTTTTAATTCTGAAATAATTATGATTTCATATGCAGTTTTAACAAGTAATAGGGAATGACATCAGTAAGATGGCAAATAGGAAGCCTAAGGGCCTTGTTCAACGGAGACACTAAGTAAACAATAGGTGGACCAAAGTACCTTAGTGAGAACCCTAGAAACCAGTTAAGAAGCTGCAGCAACCAAGTAAATGCCTAACCAAGAAAAAGCTGTACCCAAAATGGTAGAAAAATTCATAGTCCTTTTGCTCATCCTTGCCCCACACCCTTTCTAGTGTAGCATGATGCAATTGGAAAGAAAGCACCCAATTCCCAGTGCTTCCCTCAGGAATATAAGGAAAAAGGTGGAAGATGCTTGCAGTGATCTATCTTGTTCATAGGCAGCCTGAGGGATTGGTTTCTATCTCACCATACTTGGGGCACTGACTGGAATGGTGTCATAATTTGCATATCTGATTGGAGGTTATCCAAACCAGTGGCAGGTGACAGATGGAAGGGTTCTGCAGAAACACAGGTGTCTGGGGGCAAGAGCTTATGGGCAGAGGAATACAAAGGTACTTTCAAAGCTTCTGAGAAGCAGGGGTAAGCCTCCTAGGGAAATTAACACATTGAAAAATAGCTGAGTATATGCAGATTGGGAATAAAAGCACATGCACAGGCCCAAGGAAGATGCATCTCCAGAAAAGACTGGAATGGACCCTGAGCTGTTAAAGTGGGCTTAGTGTAGGTCTTCCCCTGCATATAGCCAGTCCTTAAAGACTGGTAGAAGTAGCTGGTTTTTAAATGCCCAAATTTCTTTCATGAGTGTTCCATACTTCCTAGAGTATAAATCCTTTACCTCTTTGGTTAGGTTTATTCTGAGGTATCTTATGGTTTTTGGTGCTATTGTAAATGGAATCATTTCTCTAATTTCTCTTTTTACAGTTGCATTGTTAGTGTATAAGAAAGCAACTGATTTCTGTGCATTGATTTTGTATCCTGCCACATTACTGAATGGCTGTATGAGTTCTAGTAATTTGGAGGTGGAGTCTTTTGGGTTTTCCACATAAAGTATCATGTCGTCTGCAAAAAGGGAGAGTTTGACTTCTTCTTTGCCAATTTGAAAACATTGTTAAAATGTCTAGGCTACCCAGAGCAATCTATACCTTCAGTGCCATCCTGATCAAAATTCCAATGACATTTTTCAAAGTGCTGGAACAACCAATCCGAAAATTTGTATTTAATCAGAAAAGACCCCGAGATCCCAAGGAAATGTTGAAAAAGAAAAACAAAGCTGGGGGCATCACGTTGCCCAATTTCAAGCTATATTACAAAGCTGTGATCACCAAGACAGCATGGTATTGGCACAAAAACAGACATATAGACCAATGTAACAGAATAGAGAGCCCAGATATGGACCCTCAACTCTATGGTCAAATAATCTTTAACAAAGCAGGAAAAAATATGCAATGGAAGAAAGACAGTCTGTTCAATAAATGGTGCTGGGAAAATTGGACAACCACATGCAGAAGAATGAAACTCAACCATTCTCGTTAGAGATAAACTCAAAATGGATGAAAGACCTCAATGTGAGACAGGAATCCATCAAAATCCTAGAGGAGAACATAGGCAGTAACCTCTTTGACATCAGCCACAGCAACTTCTTTCAAGATACATCTCTAAAAGCTAGTGAAACAAAAGCAAAAATGAACTTTTGGGACTTCATCAAGATCAAAAGCTTCTGCACAGCAAAGGAAACAGTCAACAAAACAAGGAGGCAACCCACAGAATGGGAGAAGATATTTGCAAATGACACTACAGACAAAGGGCAGGTATCCAAGATCTATAAAGAGCTTCCCAAACTCAACACCCAAAAAACAAATAAACAAGACAAAAAAATGGGCAGAAGACATGAACAGACACTTCTCCAAAGAAGACATACAAATAGCTAACAGACACATGAAAAAATGTTCATCATCATAAGCCCTCAGGGAAATTCAAATTAAAACCACATTGAGATACCACCTTACACTAGCTAGAATGGCAAAAATGCACAGGGAAAGAAACAACAAATGTTGGAGAGGTTGTGCAGAAAGGGGAACCCTCTTACACTGTTGGTGGGAATGCAAGTTGGTACAGCCACTGTGGAAAACAGTGTGGAGGTTCCTCAAAAAATTAAAAATAGAGCTACCCTATGACCCAGCAATTACACTACTGGGTATTTACCCCAAAGACAGAGATGTAGTGAAAAGAAGGGCCATATGCACCCCAATGTTCATAGCAGCAATGTCTGCAACAGCCAAACTGTGGAAAGAGCCGAGATGCCCTTCAACAGATGAATGGATAAAGAAGATGTGGTCCATATATACAATGGAACATCACTCAGCCATCAGAAAGAATGAATACCCAACTTTTACATCAACGTGGATGGGACTGGGGGAGATTATGCTAAGTGAAATAAGTGAAGCAGAGAAAGTCAATTATCATCTGGTTTCATGTATTTGTGGAACATAAGGAATAGCATGGAGAACATTAGGAGAAGGAAGGGAAAAATGAAGGGGGGGGGATGGGAGGGAGAGGTGAACCATGAGACTATGGACTCTGAGAAACAAACTGAGGGTTTTAGAGGGGAGGGGGGTGGGTGGATGAGTTAGCCCGGTGGTGGGTATTAAGGAGGGCACGTACTGCATGGAGCACTGGGTGTTATAAGAAAACAATGAATTGTGGATCACCACATCAAAAACTAATGATGTATTGTATGGTGACTAAAATAACATAATAAAATAAAATTTACAAAAATAAGTAAATGCCCAAATTTCAACAAAAGATTATGAGGCACAAAAAGAAACAGGGAAAGACAGTGCATTCAAAGGGAAAATAAAAAATCTAGAAACAGACACTAAAGAAACACAGGCCTCCTCCTTGACAAAAAAAAAAAAAAAAGAAAGAAGAAAGAAAGAAAGAAAGAAAGAAAGAAAGAAAGAAAGAAAGAAAGAAAGAAGGAAGGAAGGAAGGAAGGAAGGAAGGAAGGAAGGAAGGAAGGAAGGAAGGAAGGAAGGAAGGAAGAAAGAAAGAAAGAAAGAAAGAAAGAAAGAAAGAAAGAAAGAAAGAAAGAAAGAAAGAAAGAAAGAAAGAAAGAAAGAAAGAAAGAAAGAAAGAAAGAAAGAAAGAAAGAAGAAAGAAAGAAAGAAAGAAAGAAAGAAAGAAAGAAAGAAAGAAAGAAAGAAAGAAAGAAAGAAAGAAAGAAAACAACTGCTTTAAGTATGCTCAATGAACTCAAAGAGAACATGGATAGAGAAACAAAATAAGGAACTTGATTTAGGAACAAAATGAGAATATCAACAATGAGTGAAAAAAACAAACAGGAATTCCAGAGTATAAAAAAAGAACAAAAATTGAATTGAAAAATTCACTAGAGGAGGAGGTGGCAAGATGGTGGAAGAGTGGGGGACCTCATTATATCTGGTCCCTTGAATTTAGCTAGATAACTATGAAATCACTCTGAACACCCATGAAATCAAACTGAAATGTAAGAAAAGAATTTCTGGAACTCTACAAGCAGAAAAGCGACCACTTTTTGCAAGGTAGGAGGTGTGGAGAAGTGAATCTGAGGGGATATGTCAGAAGATAAACTGCGGGGAGAGGGAGCATCCATAAGCCAGCTATGGGAAAGTGATATAGCCCCAAAGAGCAAAATTGGAATCCTGAGAATCTCCAATAACAGACATCCATGCCTGAAAGGTGCTCAAGAGGTGAAACGGGGCAGAATTCTAGCTGGGACAGTGTGGTCTCAGGATCCCCGGAGTCACAGAACAAATTGAGGTGCCTGAGCCAGTAGAGTTCCCAAGCATTGGATGGAGGAAACTGGTTATGGTCAGCAAGCCCAGGAGGGGGCTCTCAGCTTGGTTCACAATAAACCGTGAGCCCTGGCCAAATCGGTGATCGCTGTCTGTGTGGGGAGCCTGCAAAGAACAGGAACACAGAGACCCTCTGCTTTCCCGTGAGTGGGGTGGAGTGGGTGCATGCAAGACTGGGTGACAGCTCTCAGTGTGGGACCCTATAAAGGACAGTAATGGGGTAACCGTCTGCCTTCCCCTGGGGTGAGGGGTGGAGCAGGTGCGTGCACAAGCTGGTGACCACTCTCCCTGCTGGGACAATGCAAGGTGGTGAAACGTGGGACCCTTTGCCCTCTCCCGGGGAATTGGTGTGGGCCCACATCATAGGAGTCTGCAGAGTTTGGCACACACAAAAGTGAAGAGCAATATCCCTGAGGTTTTACTGAAGAGAGGAGACTTCCATGTTTTGGCTCTGGGGCTGGGGATCGGGGCATGCCTATTATTATTTTGATCCTCTAAAGAGGTACACAAAGCCTTCAGGAAACAAAAGCCACACAGAAAAACCAGAAAGAGCTTACACTGAGTCTGGCCCCCTAGCAAGGGGCAAACTATGCCCAGGTAAAGACACCTGAGAATCAGCACAGCAGGCCTCTCCCCCAAAAGACCAGCTGGAAGAACAGTTGAAAGGGAAATTTAAGGACCTCAGAGGACGGTGAAATCCAGCACTGGGGGAAATAGTATATAGAATTTGAGGTTTGTACTGATTCATTTATCTTTCAGTTTAAAATTTTCCCTTTCTTTTTCTTTTTTCCCCTTTCAAATAGTTTATGTAATCAACTCTGTTTTTAAGGCTTTTTAAAAAATTTTTATTGTTATGTTAATCACCATACATTACATCATTAGTTTTAGATGTAGTGTTCCATGATTCATTGTTTGTGCATAACACCCAGTGCTCCATACAGAACGTGCCCTCTTTAATACCCATCACCAGGCTAACCCATCCTCCCCCCCTCCCCTCTAGAACCCTCAGTTTGTTTTTCAGAGTCCATCGTCTCTCATGGTTCGTCTCCCCCTCCACTTTCCCCCCCTTCATTCTTCCCCTCCTGCTATCCTCTTCTTATTTTTTTCTTAACATATATTGCATTATTTGTTTCATAGGTACAGATCTGAGATTCAACAATCTTGCACAATTCACAGCGCTTACCAGAGCACATACCCTCCCCAGTATCTATCACCCAGTCACCCCATCCCTCCCACCCCACCCCCCACTCCAGCAACCCTCAGTTTGTTTACTGAGATTAAGAATTCCTCATATCAGGGGCGCCTGGGTGGCTCAGTTGGTTAAGCGACTGCCTTCAGCTCAGGTCATGATCCTGGAGTCCCTGGATCGAGTCCCGCATCGGGCTCCCTGCTCGGCAGGGGGTCTGCTTCTCCCTCTGACCCTCCCCCCTCTCATGTGCTCTCTCTCATTCTCTCTCTCAAATAAATAAATAAAATCTTTAAAAAAAAAAAAGAATTCCCCATATCAGTGAGGTCATATGATACATGCCTTTCTCTGATTGACTTATTTTGCTCAGCATAATACCCTCCAGTTCCATCCACATCATTGCAAATGGCAAGATTTCATTCCTTTTGATGGCTGCATAATATTCCATTGTATATATATACCACCTCTTCTTTATCCATTCATCTGTTGATGGACATCTTGGCTCTTTCCACAGTTTGGCTATTGTGGACATTGCTGCTATAAACATCAGGGTGCACGTACCCTTTCAG